GGGAGAAGCAGACTCCCTGCTGAGCAGGGAGCCCGATGCGGGACTCGATCCTGGGACTCCAGGATCATGACCTGAGCTGAAGGCAGTTGCTTAACCAACTGAGCCACCCAGGTGCCCTTATTTATTTTTTTTCATCATGATAAGTGTCCTCTTTAATCCCCATCACCCATATGACCCCATTCCCCCACACACTTCCCCTCTGGTAACCATCAGTTTGTTCTCTGCTTAAGAGTCTGTTTCTTGGTTTGTCTCTCTTTATTCCCTTTGCTCATTTGTTTTGTTTCTTAAATTCCACATATGAGTGAGATCATATGGTATTTGTCTTTCTTCGACTTATTTTGCTTAGCATTATAATCCCTAGCTCCGTCCATGTTGTTGTAAATAGCAATATTTTATTTCTTTTTATGGTTGAATAATATTCCATTGTGTATATATATATATACACACATGTATATATACACACAAACATCTTTATGCATTTGTCTATTGATGGACACTTGGGCTGCTTTTGTAGTTTGGCTATTGTAAATAATGCTGCAGTATACATAGGGGTGCATGTATCCTTAGTCTTGGAAGTGAAAAAAAACACAAAGTGTTGCTTTTTCTTAATGGGATTAATTTGTGTTATGAAGGGAAACTCTCCTTCAGGAACGAGAGATACTTGAGGAAAATGCTGAATGTCGTTTGGCTATCTTCAAGGATTTGGTTGGTAAATGTGACACTCCAGAAGAACCAGTGAATGAAGATTGTGCCATGAAAGTTGAAACCAAAGTATGTTGACTGAAATGTTAGGTAGTGATGTTTTTGGTGCCAGCATGTAGTGTACCACATCAATAATGAAAAAACATTAACATACTTTAGAATTAAACAACTTACTACGTAGCTCTATTAAGCATGCTTTGCTAGGAATTTGAGCACAGTTAGTTTAAATATAGGTATTAGAGTAGAAAAAATTAGGTGTTATGTTTATATCTCATTTTGGTGTTGCTTTTGAGTCATTGTATTGATTATAGGTAGGTGGGTTCCTTTTAGTCTGATTATGGGATGCCTCTCTTGGATTTGTGTTAAACAGTTTCAGAGGGACCTAAGAGTCCGTTATATTGCTCTGATTAAAGCAAAAGCATTCTGTGTAAAAAGGATTGCTCTTGTTGGCTGACTGACCATTCCCTGCAGTTGAGGAAACATTATCCTTTTCTGCTGCTTCCACTGGAATTGATATCTTTGGGGGGTTGTTTGATTTTGTTTTGCTTTTTTAATTACTCAGTTTAGGGGCCTGGGATGGTGATGTCCTGGCTCTTGCTGTCAAATCATGTTTATGTGTCCCAGACATGGTTTGGCTCTTGGACTGAGTTGTGATAATGGAGGTTTGTTTCCTCAGCTGTCCCAACAGAGACTTAGGAGACATATAAGTGAAAGTGTACCTGAACTGATGTCATAATTGTTCTATAGTGACTTACAGCTTATGACTTTTTTTTTAAATGGAACTATGTCTCACATTCTGTAAAACAGAAAATGAGTAATGGAACATAGCTTTTTTATAATTGGAGATACTTTAATATACTTTATTGAAAAACATTTTAAGTTGTGGATTTTTTGCTACGTGTTCTTAAAATTGTCTAAATCAGATAGTACCACATTGTAAGAGTGAAAGCCACTGTTAACATTAGGCATGTGGTTTTTGCTATTTTTAGGAAGCACATAATTATGTAGGAATTGAAGATATTATTGAATCTCTTCAAGATGATGTCACTGATATTAAGAAACAGGCTGAAATTGCTCACTTATATATTGCATCTCTTGCTGACCCCCAGGAAGCTATTGCTTGTTTAGAAATAAAGTTTAATCAAGTTAAAGCTGAATTAGCTAAAACCAAAGAAGAATTAATCAAAACCCAGGAAGAATTAAAAAAGAGAGAAAATGGTAAGTAGATGTATTTTATCCATATTTAGATGTTACAAATGCATAAAAAGTTGGTGAGTATAAGAGATTATGCAGCTTATTTACCATAGTGACAGGAAGATTCTTTGATCTAGGTAACATATTTAAAATTTAACGTTTTAGTGACTTTATAGTAATTTACTATTAAAAAATTTTTTTGCCTTCATTTACTTTCAGACTAATATTAGTAGAAAATAGACTTCTCAAAAAACAAAAACAAAAACAAAAAAACCCAAACCAAAGAACAACCACCACCAAACTAAGCATTAGTTTTATCAGCAAATTAAGAAATCTTACAGGAAATTGTAATGCTGTGAATTTTATTCTTCTGTATTTTTTATGAATTGTCATAGTGTAGTAGATTCTGCTCTGAGCTTGTAAGTTTGGGATAAAGTGACTCCTATGGAGTGGTCTTAAGTTTGTTGGTGCTTCATTCCAGCTCAGAGCTATATATGTGTGTATATATGTGTATATATATATATATATATGTTTAATTTATGACATTTGCTTTGTATCTGGTAGTGCTAACATTGGAGAAAATTGCAGGTGGGATATGTTTAATTTATATATATTTATAATGTCCTATCTGGTTTTTAAAAGTGTTAGGTGAAATATTCTGCCCTTTTCTGTGTGAAGCAAAATGGGTAGAAAATAGCAGGTAAGAGGTATCTCTTCATAATTAAGTGGACTAGAAAGGTACTATTTTCCTCTCTTCTCTGAAATTATACCAGAAATTTTTTTACAATTTAGTGTATGTCATTCATTTTTACCCTGCATGGGATGTTGAATGTGGCTTTTTCAGAAACATTGCCCTCTGGGGGTAGAATTAGTATCTGAATGCCGTGTGCTTCTAGTGCTGTCAAAATCATTTTTCCCAAATGTAACACGTTTCATGATTATTCAGTGATATATTTTTTTAGATGCTTAGTTATTTATTTTCAATATTCTTATTTTTTCAGAATCAGAAATTAATTTAAATTCATTGGTTCAAGAGCTTGAGAAATCTAATAAGGTAATACTTCAAGTTTTATTTTGTCTTGATAAGGAACTTAATAATTAAGCAATTGAAGGAACATGAATTATGACAAGGTACATTTATTTTAAAAATAATTTAAAAAAAAGTAATAAATGAATTGATAAAAAATTGAAAATTGTAAGTTTTCAGTGATAGCCACTGGAAAGTTTCTTCAGTCTTTCCAGAAGATATTTATTTATATATAGGGAACATACACATCTTTTAAAAAGTTTACACAAATTAGGAGCGCTTGGATAGCTTAGTTGGTTAAGCGTCTGACTCTCGATTTCGGCTCAGGTCTTGATCTCAGGGTCGTGAGTTCAAGTCTTGCGTTGGGCTCCATGCTGGGCATAGAACCTGCTTAAAAAAAGGTTTACACATGGTGATTAACATAACATAATAATAAAAAAATATATATTTAATAATAAAAAAATAAAGGTTTACACAAATGGGATTAGTTAGTTTTGTGTCTTGTTTTCTTCCCTCAAAAGATGTCTTGGAGGTAATTCTACATTAGCACATAGAGATGTGTGTTATTCTTTCACTAGGTGAATAGTGTTGATTGATGCATTTAAATGGTATTTATTTCATCTAAAATTACTTTTAAAGTATGGGATATGGCTTGAGCAATGTGCAGCATTGAATTCTGAAGATCTTTGGCACTTTGATCAGATAATTTATTCCAAATGCTTATAGATGGATTTGACATTGATAGGTTTAAATATGAAATTATAAATATACGTGGAGGTAAAGTGAATTTAGAACTCTAAACTTGCTATTTTTTCTGACCTTTTCTGGCATGGGTCTTCTTCTTCTTCATTTTTTTTATGGATTTTTATTTATTTATTTGGCAGAGAGAGAGAGCACAAGCAGGTGAGCAGGAGAGGGAGAAGCAGGCTTCCTGCTGAGCAGGGAGCCTGATGTGGGGCTCGCTCCCAGGACCCTGGGATCATGACCTGAGCCGAAGGCAGACGCTTAATGACTGAGCCACCCAGGTGCCCCTGGCATGGGTCTTCTTACATCAGTTTACATTTATACTTCTCAAGAGCTAAATATTTTAAGATATGACAGACATAAGTCAAGATCTTTGGTGTCTAATATCTAGCATTTAAAGAAGTAACCAAAATAATGTACTTAGCAGAAGACATTACAGCTACTGTTTAGACAATTCCTAATCTTTTCCTTTATTTTTTTCTAGTTATAAAAATAGTAGATGCTAGCTATAAAAATTCAGTTATATTAAGCTATGTAAAATAGAAGATTAAAAAGCCCCCCATAATCTTCCTCCTGAATAAAAATAAGAGAAAACCAAGTTGGTTGGTAGCTTTTTTTAGAACTTTACCTTATACATATTTCTTTATTTGAAAGATTTTATTTATTTATTTAAGAGACAGAGAGAGTGCACACGAGCAGGGGCGAGGGGCAGAGGGAGAACGAGAATCTCAAGCAGACTCCCCACTGAGTGCAGAACCTACCACAGGGCTCAATCCCAGGATGCTGAGATCATGACCTGAGCTGAAATCGAGAGTCGGATGCTTAACTGACTGAGCCACCCAGGCACCCCATATGTATTTATTTTTATAGAACACTTAACTATGTACTCTCTAAAATGCTTTACATATATTAACTCATTTAGATCTCAGAACAACTTTATGAAATAGAAACTGTTATTATTTTTTATTTTTACAGAGACATAAAGTAACTTGCCCAGGGTCGTACAACTAGAAGGTGGAAGAGTTAGGATTCGGACCTGGACAGTCTGATTCCAGATTCCTCTTACCCAATATACTATATTGCTTTTCTTCCCTTTATTTAAATAAACATACATTATTTTTTAAACAAAAATAAGGTCATACTATGCATACTTACAGGTATTTTTATTTAGTCTTAAAATTTGAAGGAATTCTAAAATTGCATCAGACTTGCATTTTATCTATCCTAAAATATATTTATTAAACATTGCTATTTTTCTTCTTTCCAAAGAAAATACTTATGCAGAATCAAAGAATTCAAGAGTTGGTAGATATAATTGATCAAAAAGAGGATACAATCAACAAATTTCAGAACCTAAAATTTCATACAGAAAACATATTTGCAAGCATTGTAAGAATTTAACTTTGTCTGCCTTACAAATTACATTAAAAAGTCTATGTTTTAGTTCAAAATAAAATAATTTAAAATAGCTTATATAGCTAAGATTAATTTACTAAGAATGTTGAATTGTTTATTTTGGTGTTGAATTTAGTTTACCTTTGTGCAAATCTGAGTTTTTGAGAACTTGCAAGAGGGCATTTGACCTCTTTAAACATAATACCCCACAAACTATGCTGGCAATGCTTTACATACATGAGAGAGAAAAATATGTAGCTCTTGGAAGTCTAAGCCTTAGCTAGTTGTAAGGGGAGCTCTGGGGCAAAAGGAACTTAATGTGCTCAGATATCTGCAGGTCATAAAGATTTCTGTCTCTATCTCTATCACTGTACCTATCTGTATTTCTGTGTCTCTGTATAGAAGTATAAATGAAATTCAGTGGAGTTAGGGTTTTTTTTGTTAGAGGCTTACTTTTATTAAATGCATTTTTTGCTAATGTTCATATGCTTAATGGCAAAGATATTTTATTTTAAAAATTGCATCATGTACTATGCCATGTAAAGTGTTTAAGGGTTTTAGAAGTACAAGTTTCGGTCATTTCATATTTAGTTTAGGAAAATCAGCCTGCCTTTTAATCCTTTTTTTTTTAAACAATGGTTTTGGTTTTCCTTTATGTTTTTTATTGTAAACTCCAAAGATTATTGTTTGAATTAAAAAAGCAGAATATACAGACATAATAGGCTGAGTAAACTAATAACTAAACCTCTCTGCTTTATTTGAAGGTACTTTTGTATGTCTTTTCTCTGACCAGATGAGACAAGATTGGTATCTTGTAAAAAGTGACTGTTAACTATCCTTTCTATCTTGACAGTCAAAGTCCAGTATCCACCAATATTCTCTGAAGCATCTCAGCATTAAGTGGACTTTTGATACTACAGGGGTAAATAAGAAGCATCTAGAAGAGTAGCTTACCTTCTGTCTAATCTCTGGTAGCAGACCTCTATTTTGGTATTCTTTAGATGCATTATTCGGTCTATCTGACTTTTTTTTGTACCCAAACTGGGAGAGACACCCTTGTAATAAGGAGAAGAGCAAGGATAAGAAGCATAAAATGATTTGTTTCAGTAAAAAACACTTGTTGAATGTCTACTTTGTGCCAGGAACTGTGTCAGATTTTGAGAATTATATAGATGAATAAAAACTAGTCCCCTTAATGACTCCTCAGTAAGGGAGAGAACATGTAAACATAATGAAATGTGCAGTGGTAGTCAATATATACAAGAAGCTGAGAATAGGTGGAGGTTTAGGGAATACTTTCTGGAGATGAAAATGATTAAGTTGAGCCATGAAAGATGATTAAAATTTAGCCGGTTGAGGGGTGGCTGGTGGCTCAGTCATTAAGCGTTTGCCATTGGCTCAGGTCATGATCCCAGGGTCCTGGACCGAGCCCCGCATTGAGCTCCCTGCTCTACGGGAAGCCTGCTTCTCCCTCTTCCACTCCCCCTGCTTGTGTTCCCTCTCTGGCTGTCTCTCTCTCTGTCAAGTAAATAAATAAAATCTTAAAAAAAAATTTAGCCAGTTGAAAGTAGGGGGAAGGGGCATTCCATAGCTGTGAGGGACAAGGAAATTGGACTGGCCTTCCAGATATAAGATTCAGCATGCACAAAGTCATGGAAATGAGAAGGCTTTCAGTCAGTGTAGGAAAGCACAAGCATTGTTCAAGAGAAAGTTTGAAGCAAGGAAAGGTGAGAAGTGAGGCTGGGAGCGGTGGGTTGGGGTAAGGTGGTTGAAGTCCTTAAATTCTGCATTAAAGAGTTTGGGTTTTATTCTGTAGGCACTGAGAAGTCATTAATTTTAAAGAGAGGAGTAGCAAAATTGTTTTTTTATTTTGAGTGATGTATTTGGAAATTTGGAGGATGGGATTGAGATGGAGTTAGACTGGATGCATAGAGACCAGAAAAGCCTCTTGGAAGAGTCAGGTGATAGTTGATTACGACTTTGATTAAGGGTAGTTGGATAGTGGTGGTAGAGATTAAGAAGAGGATATTGACTGGTGAATTAAGGGGTGGTAAGACCTTTTGGGACTCGGGGCTTGAATTTTTACAGTATGAATTGCTGGGCTTTCAGACTCTTAGCACTTTTGTTTGGCTATTCCAGCAAATGCTTTTGGTCTGATCACTTGATTTGGATTGTAAGTCTTGTTTGGTTTGGTGAAGGAAAATAAAAACAAGAAAAAAAAAGCCAGAGACATCACTCTGGCAACTACATCTTCGAAGAAAATTGTTGGAAATTTACGTTGGAATTATATTTATTTCTGTAGTATGTTTATATACCACAGTGTGTTAGTCATGTTTAAGTAATAGTAAAAGAGCAATTCAAATTAGCAATGTTCCTAATTTAATAGTCCTTGCCTGTAAATAGACTTTTTAGATAGGTTCTAGATTCTGTTACCAATTAGGTTTAAACAGTATATGAAATTGTTCACATAAATACATAAACAAATGTAAATTGTTTGGAAGTTTGCAACTTAACCTGATGATTAACTGTTGATCACTGTTCCAAAGCTTGTCTTGAAAGCAGACTTCCTAATGATAAAAAAGTGTATTTTGAATGATGGTTCTTGATCATTTTTCCAACCATACATACTCTCTAGGGTAGAAAAGATTCCTTTCAGTAACAGTTGTGGAGGATAGATTTTTTTTTTGATGAAGTTGTATAATTTGAAGGAGGGAAAAAATGATCAGATCATTTTGAGAGGTCTAAGAGTGAGGGAAGAGACAACTTGAACCTCTCATGGAGTATTTGAAAACTCTTAGCCTCTGTCAGAGGTGTGATCTGTCTATTCCGGGATTTTATTTCTCAGTGACACCAGGGGACTAATTGTGAGAGTGGAGGTTTTTCATCATGACATCCTTTGTTTAGGGATATCTAAAAACACTGCTTTAAAAAAACCTCATTACTTTATGATTTAAAAAAGGTATCTCATCGATATCTCCTGAATAAAATGTTTGATTTTATGATAGAAAATGGCATTTTGTTTTTTTCATACACTTTTTTTTATCCCTAAAATGGATTGCTACCAGCAGAAAGGATTTAAGTAATCTTTGCCTTTTAAAAAAATCCCTGGCTTTACTATACTTTTGATTACTTTATAGACTTGTCCTTAACTGCTGAGTTTCACCCTTCCTCTTTCTGGATAACAGTATATAGTATCTTTTTTTTCTGCTAGCCTTTTAGGAGGCATAGTATTTGCCTTAAAAAATAAAAATCTAAGTGATTTTTATTGTTAGGTAAACTAGGAGCTCAGTTTTAAGGCTGTATGTAGACTGTATATTTTTAAATATACATAGGCTATAAGTTAAGGCCAAAACTATTTTTCTGGGAGTTGTTAAAAGTATAAAAAAAATGCTGCTTATCTTTGAGAGGCTTTGGTAACAAAACAGTTTTTGAGTTTCTAGAGTGGGACCTCAAGATTTTAAGTTCAAGTATCTATAAGAAACAATTTTGTCATAGTGTTTTGTATTTTTCTTTACAAAGCACATTTTGAGTGTGACTGAGGGGTAAGTGTTCTAGGGTTCTCCAGTTATCCTCAAACTAGTCTCTAGCCCATTAATGATGAATTTGTTTTTAGGTATCAGGGTAAAACTATATGCTTAACTGACTTTAAGGTAAGTGTTTTTGTTTTCCTTACTGAATGTACAAGTTAGTTAATATTACTCACTTGCCAGAGCCATCAGTTATTTTAGGGCGAGACTTAAGAAATAAATTAGAAAATGTTTAAACAAATTTGAAAATAAAATTTTCATGTTACATTACTGAAACATAATTTATATAGCTTTCACATTTCTTGTGGCTTTGTATATGTGAACTAATCTTTATTTTATTTTAGGATAAGGCTGGTACATTTTCTTTAATAATAAACAATAAATTGGTTTCTAATGAAACCGTTAAAGTGCCTGAGGATGACAAAACCAAAACTGATTTGGGAAGAAAAAGAATAAATAAAAATGAACTTCAACTAGAAGAGCCACCAGCAAAGAAAGGTACTACTTCACTTGCCATCAGGAGGGCTTTAAGAAAGTTAATTCCTAAACCAGTAATGGGAAAAGTTGCAAATAGAAGAAAATTTACTTATCTAAGGAGAAAACCTGAGGAAATGTACATGTCACTGATTTTATGCTAACATGTGTAGACTGCCTGGCAGATGGGTGTATGTATTTACAGCTATCTTTTATTTTAGTAAAATATTTTTAGATACTGTGTTTTTATCATGTTTTGCATGCATATGATTCTTTTTACTTCTGTGCTTATGGTAGTTAAAACATCACTTCTATTTTCGTAATTGTAGTATCTTTTTGTGCCAAAAATCTCCCCACATTCTCTATTCCTTCTATAAAAGGACATCTGCCAGTAAGACTTTGAGCTGAACATTACAAAAGACATATGTGCTCAAGTTATTGTATTTACTATGGAATTACTAAAAAAGTAGGTACATGTTAGTATATAGGTCATGTCCCTATTTATGTGGAAGAATAAATCCACTTTTATGTTCTCTCTAAGTTATTTGTTATTTCTTTTAGAAAACTGTTGTAGTATGATACTGGGAGTAGGGCTTTCTAAGAGAAGGTTTAGAAACATTAGCTTTAGGAAGCTGACTAGCTGTTTCACCCTGAGAAAAAATGGGTAAGTTAAGTCTTAACTTTTGTTATTAGTAAAGCAAAATAAGTACTACCTGCTTCCTGAGGTTGTCAGGGATAAAAACAATGAGGTAATACACCAACATAATAAACACCTCATCGAGCCTCAGTAAAATGAGTGTTTTCAGAAGTAGATGCCTTAGAGGATAATATAACCTTAGATATATAGTTTATGGGATGTACAGAGCTTGTGTGAGCTAATAGATCGAGACTAATATGCATATGCCTTCTGTTATCCATTGCTACTGGGAGGACAACTTTGCTATGATTTTTTATAATACTGTTCCTTTCTCCCTTTCACTTTGGTCAGTGCCATAGAGTAATTGAGAATGTAGGATTGGTAGGTCACTAGGAAGTAGACGTGGCCAGGAACAAGTGAAACACGCAGTGGGACTAATCCTAAAGGTAACCCATTCAACAACCCATAGTTGTTAGCTATAAATAATTTTGATGCAGGTAGATTTAAGTAAGTTTAGGTAACATGACAAAAGACTTTTTTTCTCCTTAAAGTCACAACCACTTTGACTATTTCTCAATTATTTGTGTTATTAGAGACTATAGGGATTACATAAGGTATCCTATGAAAATCATAAGCTATAACCACCCTCCTCTCCTTTGCCTCATACTAAAAAGTCTCTAGAGTAAAATATGTGACTCCTGTAACCACCAGGGTAAGATCAGGGGTTGATAGTTTCGTGGGATGCTTGTGTTCTCTTCCTAAAAGGGAATGCAAAACCATTTCCCCATGAAAGTGAATTTGCTTGTTTGAGGTCATTGTATCTGTACTTTGGGAAGGCTGGTAGCCATGTAAACAGTACGAGAAATCAGGCTTCAAAAAGCAGTAAAAGAGACAAACCAGAGACATGATACAGTCTGCTTACTTGTGATTCTTCAATCAAAACTGTAATGGTTATAACAAAACAGAAGCAGTAGAAGTATAGGTTGAACATAGTACACAATTAAAATGTTAACTGCATTCTTGTTGTTTATGTTTAGTTTTTATAAGTTAACAGTAGATATTTAAGAGTTTTCCCATCTCTATCACTGGACTAATACTTTAATTTTTTCCTGATAAGGCTGTCCTAAATATGTTCTATAAATCTTTTGATACAAAACATTTAAAGTTTTCTGAAAGAATAGTATGATTATCTGAAAAAAAATTAGGTACAAAACAAATTAGTTTGATTGACCTTATTGTGTAATTATCCTAGTTCTTGAAATACAGTAAAATTAAAAGAAGAACATTACTTGATCACAAAAGTTTTTTTTTTTTTAAGATTTTATTTATTTGACAGAGAGACACAGCGAGAGAGGGAACACAAGCAGGGGGAGTGGGAGAGGGAGAAGCAGGGGGAGTGGGAGAGGGAGAAGCAGGCTTCCCGCTGAGTAGGGAGCCCGATGTGGGGCTCGATCCCAGGACCCTGGGATCATGACCTGGGCCGAAGGCAGACGCTTAACGACTGAGCCACCCAGGCGCCCCGATCACAAAAGTTTTATTGAGCTTTCTGTATTCAGTTCAGGGTTTAGGGACTATATCCATATGGTATGCATGACTCAAATCTCTTGACTCAGGATAAATAGGATCTATTTGTGAGTTCTGAATTTCTGATTGTTGTCGTTTTAAACTTGCTTAGATCCCATCTCTCCTGATGAATGGTTCAGACAATTTTATAACTTGTTTTTTTAAAGAGTAAGATTCTTTTTTAAAAAACCATTTCTAAGTTATGAAAAAAATCCATCCTCATTTAGTTTTCCTAATTAGTCATTTCCACTGATGAAGTCATAAGTATAAAAATAGCATCATAAGTAGAGAATTACATTAAATGGAAAGTAGAACAGAAGTCTGAACCAGTGGAGAAGACGGGGTCGTTCCACTTTGGGATGGCTTGCCACAACTTTGTAAGATGGTAGGAGACAATCTAATGGAAGAATGATATATTGGTTGAAGATTATTAAAAAAAAATCCTTAAGAGTGGGTGGGCAAGTTTGTTGTAAAAAAAAAAGGGTAAATCTTTGAGATTCCAGAGTAGCTGGAATCCTTAGAATAAATTACCAATCTTAAGGCAGTAAATTGGGAAAATGTAACTACAAACGTAAGAAAAGCTTCAAAAATACACTCATCAGCTTTGAAGAAAGTGAGGCTCTACAATAAGGGTAATGCCATGTTTTCCCCACCCTCTTTGAAGCAGAGGAGACAATGTAAGTTATAGATAATAAAACCTTGTTCATTGAGCTTTTAAAATTAGTCTGTATTAAAGAAAAGAGATTTTGGGATTGCACAATTAAAGCTGTCCAGGAGCATCTAGACAGTTGGGTGAAGGAAACGAATATGGATTGTATTTGAAAAATGAAAACTAATAAAGCTTGTTTTTGCATAAATACTATGGAAACTGAGATAGGTGATATTATTTTTGTTTTCCATTTGAGGAAGTGGTCATAGGGTTAAGGAGTTTGACAGTTATGTAGCTAGTGATGGGCGAGGCTGCATGAGAGTTCCCAGAATTTCAACCATTTTCCCCTAATTTTAGCTATGAAATTATAAGGTACTCAGTTTTCAAGTCATTCATTTAGTAGATCTGTAATATAATTGTGCTTTAAAATTATCTTTAGGATTTGGAATGTCTACCTTGGGGTGTCTCATGTGATTCGGAACTTCCCTCTGTCCCATATTATAATGGTAATAAAGATTTGTAGTAGATAATTGAAAGACTATTGAAAGTTATAAAAAGAAAATAGAAACAACTGATAATCCTACTCGGGTAGTTATCGTCAATTTTGGTGTACTTCCTTTGCTAACTCTTTCTGCATTAATTGAAGGAACTATGGTTTTTACACAAATGGGCAAATATAGGTGTATGTTTTGCAACCTGTTTTTTCTTTTTCACTCAGTGGCTTATTTTTGTTTTCATTAAAAGTTTGCTTCCATGTTTTTTTTATGTTTAAATAGGTGCTTATATGGTAACTTTTTAGTTTTATTAAGGTTTACCAGATTAATAACAATTTTCTTATTTTTAAAGGACCTATACATGCTAGTCCAACTAAAACTGAAGATGAAAAGAAAAGTGAAGAAATGCAAAAGAGCGTTTCAGAAGATGAGGGAGGCATTAGAATTTTACAAGAAAATAGTGAAGAGCTGAAAACATGTTTACTTACTACCGAAAATGAACTTAAAAATGAAAAGGAAGAAAAAGCAGAATTAAATAAAAAGATTGTTAGTTTGCAGCAGGAACTTTCTTTTTCTGAAAAAAAGAGTTTTACTTTAAGTATAGAGGTCCAACAAATTCAGTCAAATTATGATAATGCAATTTCTGAATTACATGTGCAGAGAAGTATCAATCAAGAACAGGAGGAAAAGATTGTGAAATTGTCAAAGGAAATAGAAACTGCTAGGAACAACATCGCAAATAATGTTTCACAAATAAAATTAATGCAAGCAAAAATAGATGAACTACGAACGCTTGAATCAGTTTCTCAGATCTCAAACATAGATTTACTCAGTCTCAGGGATCTGTCAAGTGCTCAAGAGGATAATTTGCCGAATACCCAGTTACACCTTTTAGAGAATGGTAATTTGGTAAGTAAGCAGGTAAAAGAATATCATACTCAAGAACTCAGTAGGGAAGGTTCTTTCCACTCTAGTATTGAAGCCATTTGGGAAGAATGTAAGGAAATTGTAAAGGCCTCTTCCAAAAAAAGTCATCAGATCCAGGAACTAGAACAACAAATTGAAAAGTTACAGGCAGAATTAAAAGGTTGTATGGATGAAAACAATAGACTAAAAACAGAGGAAAAGGAGAATAAAAATCAAGGTGACCTACTAAAAGAAAAAGAAAATCTTATACAGCAGCTGAAACAAGAATTGCAAGAAAAAAACATTTCTCTTGATGTTCAAGTACAACATGTAGTTGAAGGGAAGAGAGCACTTTCAGAACTTACACAAGATGTTACTTGCTATAAGATGAAAATAAAGGAACTTGAAGCAATCTTAGAAACTCAAAAAGATGAATGCAGTCATTCAGCCAAATTAGAACAAGAACTTTTGGAAAAGGAATCTATCATCTTAAAGCTAGAAAGGAATCTGAAGGAATTTCAAGCAAATCTTCAGGATTCTATCAAAAACACCAAAGACTTAAGTGTAAGGGAAGTCAAATTGAAAGAAGAAATCTCACAATTAACAAGAAATTTGCAAGATGCAAAGCATTCACTTCAGTTAAAGGAAGAAGAAAAGGAAAGCAACTGGCAAAAAGCAGAAAAGTAAGATAAATGTTATTAAAATATTTTAAAATGTGCAAAGGGTTTATTTTATTGGTTTTCCTCTATGTAGCTTTTAAATAATTTAGGTGGGTATAACTTAATCTAGTATAGCATGTTTGAAGAGTAAAGAACTTGAACTTAGTTCAGGTAAACCTTTGGAACCAAAAGTTATATGCAAAAATCTGTTTATAAAATCACATGAAATTCTCTCTGAAGGACTCATTGATTGGACATTCCAAGTTTGTGAAAATTTAGAATTTTGTAGGTTGTTACTAGCTCACATGTACGATCCTGTGGTTTGTGGTGTGTCACTATAGAAAAATGATTTGTGTTCTTAGGTTGAAAGAGGAGCTATCTGCAAGCTATGCTCTTACACAAAATCTGAAAGCAGATCTTCAGAGGAAGGAAGAAGATTATGCTGAGCTGAAAGAGAAACTCGCTGATGCCAAAAAACAGATTGAGCAAGTACAGAAAGAGGTAGGTTATTTGAAAGTTGCATGGCCAATTTAAATAACAAAGATTATTTTCATTATAGAGCACATTTTTTAGACACTAATTTTAGAATTAAACAGAACATTTATCAACTCCATAATTTTCTTTAAATAATGAGAACACTTATTTCACAAAAGAAATAAAGCTTAAAGTGACGAATGTCCAACATTAAGAAAAATATGTGGGGGAGGTCGGTGGGGGGGATGGGGAAAACAGGTGATGGGGATTAAGAGCACACTTATGAGCACTGAGTAATGTATAGAATTGTTGAATCATTGAAACTAATAGAACACTTAACTATGCTGGAATTAAAATTAAAAAAACTTAATAAATTTCAAAAAAAAAAGAAAAAAATCTGCCTCATGTACTCATGTAGTAGTAGAATCTTTTTTTTTTTTTCTGTTAAAGACTTCCAAGTTCAGTTCCCCCCAAAAAGTAAAAAGCAAACTTTTGTTTGCAGATAATATTCATGAGCATATGCAGTATAGTTGTTACAAGTTTTTTATCATAGTTTAGTTTTAAAATAGGAAATACAATCACTGATTCTAAATACAAAATATACAAAAGTATATACAATGGGAAAACAACTCCCTCCCAACCCCCCCAGTCATCAACTTTCTCTTCAAGGCATCAAACAACACCACTTTCTTTCTCTTTACTTCTTTCTATCCTTTTTTTCTCTTCCTGTAAAAAAATGAAAACATCCTATAAACACTGTTGTGGATCTTAATTTTTTCACTTAATAGTGCATCTTGGCTGTCATATCAGGGTAATGTAGTTATTTTATGACTACAAAATGTGCTTACCATTAGTTAATTGGTGCTGGATTGTTGGACAATACAGATTATTTCATCTTCTTCTGATTGAGCTTATGCAGCAAAGTCATTTGAACACTTACAAGTCATTCTATAAGTAGAATTTATGGGTCACTGGTTTGTACATTGTAATTTTGATATTTATTATGCTCTTAATGCCAATTTATAAGCCAGAAGTAATATATGAGAATAGGAGTATTTTTTCTACCCTTATCCACAAAGTAGTATTTTATCATACCTTTTGATATTTGACAGATAAAGAGTATATATCTTGGGGCGCCTGGGTGGCTCAGTCAGTTAAGCATCTGCCTTCGGTTTGGGTGGTGATCCCGGGTCCCTGGGATCGAGCCCTTTGTCAGGCTTCCTGCCCTGTGGGGGGCTTGCTTCTCCCTCTCCATCTGCCTCAGCTCCCCTTGCTTGTGCTCTCTCTCTCTCTGTCAAATAAATAAAATCTTAAAAAAAAAGAGTATATATCTCACTATAATTCTAATTTGCATTTTTCTAATTATGAGTGAGAATCTTTTTGTGTAAAAACCATTTGTATTTTTTTTTTCTGTGAGCTGTGTATTCATATCTTTGGCTTTTTTAATTTGGGTTATTGATTTTTGTTCTGTTTTTAAATTAGTTTTGCTTTATAGGAGCTTATTACATATCCAGGAAATTAGGCTTTTTAAGAGTGTGAATTGTAGACCCCTTCCCCTCATTGCTGTTTTCCTTGATAAGGTTCTTTTTTGTTTAGAGCAAATTTTGATTTTCATGAATTTAAGTTTATTAGTTTTTCTACTATGACTTCTTGATTTTGTCTTGTACTTAGACTTTTTCTAAAAGCTGAAACAGTTTTGGGATACCTGAGTGGCTCAGTCAGTTAAGCATCTGCCTTCGGCTCAGGTTATGATCCCAGGGTCCTGGGATCGAGCCATCATTGGGCTCCCTGCTCAGCGGGGAGCCTGCTTCTCCCTCTGCCTGCCACCCCCCCCGCTTGTGCACACGCTCACTCTCTCTCTGACAAATAAATAAATAAAATCTTAAAAAAACAAAAAAACTGAAAGTTTTATTTTTTATTTTATTTTTATTAAAAAATGAGTTTTAAAGAATTATTTTTTATTATTACTTTAAGTTAATTAAAAAGAATTCTTAAATGTGTAAGGTCTGAAGAAATTGATATAGCAAATGCTTGTGGGTCCCATCCGTATAGCTTTCCTACCTCCATAGAAGTTATTACATTGAATGTTTTGTGTGTATCTTTCTCTTACCTTCTAAAAATATAATTTAAAATCATATCTTTTTTTTACTTCTAAACAGCATATTGTATTTTTCTGAGGCTTTTTATTTTTCACATATTCCTGAAATTCATTTATGTATAGTTGTAATAATCACTTTCAATGCTGTATCGTACAACCTTGTGTGACATTTTGCTATTTATTTATCCATTTGCCTGTTGGCCAGTTAGATTTTTTTTTTTTCTTTTTTTGCTCTTAGAAACAGCATTCCTCTCCTATACATGCCTGTGGGTATACTTGTGCAAGAGTTTATATTCCAGGGGGTGGAATTGTTAAATCAGAGGATGTGAAGGGGTATCTCATTGTCGCTTGAAATTGCATTCCTCTGATACTAATGAAGTACAGCATCTATTCACGTTCTTATTGGCTATTTGTCTATTCTGGTTTCCACTCTATGAAATCATTTGTTCATATTTTCTTTCTTTTTTTTTTTTTAAGATTTTATTTATTCATTAGAGAGAGAGAGAGAGAGCACAAGCAGGGGGAGAGGCAGCGAGGGAGAAGCAGACTGCTTGCTGATCTGGGAGCCCAACTTGGGGCTTGATCCCAGGACCTGGAGATCATGACCTGAGCCGAAGGCAGACGCTTAACCATCTGAGCCACCCAGGCACCCCCATATTTTCTTTTAATTGTGCTAGCCTTTATTTTTATTTTAAAGATTTTATTTATTTCACAGAGAGAGAGCACAAGCAGAGGGGGGGAGGAGGAGCAGAGGGAGAGGGAGAAGCAGACTCCCCACTGAGGAGGGAACCAGATGCGGGGCTCCATTCCAGGACCCTGGGATCATGACCTGAGCCAGAGGCAGACGCTTAACTGACTGAGCCACCCAGGTGCCCCTAGGATTTCTTTATTCTTGATTCTGATTCTTTGTCAGTTAAATATGTTACAAATATCTTTTGGTTTGTCTGTTGTCTTTTGATGATTGAAATTCTTTATTTTATTTTATTTTTTTAAGATTTTATTTATTTGAAACAGAGAGAGAGTGCATGCACGAGCAAAAGCAGCAGAAGGGGCAGAGGGAGAGGGAGAAGTAGAGTCCCCACTGAGCAGGGAGCCCAATGCGGGGCTTGATCCCAGGACCCTGGGATCATGACCTGAGCCGAAGGCAGACGCTTAACCGACTGAGCCACCCAGGCATCCCAGCATTAATGTAAATTAGAAAAAGTTAATGAGTATGAACTTTCTGATTAAATAATATTTCATGACTGTTAGGCCTGTATAGTAAAGAAAAGGAAGGGGAAAGAAGCTCTTGCTGTGGACCTAGTACCCCTCTGCATTTTTTTTTGTGAGTAGAGGTTCTTCTTTTTCCCGGCCAGCACTGTGATGCCTGGAAGCTTTGGCTTGAGTTCTGTTGCTTCATTTATAGTGATTTGTAGAGATGTGTAAATTGTATTTCTCATTGCTTTATTGATGCAATTTATAAAGTTCTCAGATTCATCGTCAGTATATTTAGCAGGATTTTGATTTAAGTACAGGATTAAGAACTAAGCTTTTATGATAATATGGGAAAATGCTTGTCTTATAATGTTAAATAATAGAAGGTGGACCCAATGTTACATACCATCAACCCTTGAACAAGACGGTTTGAACTGTGCAGATCCACTTTTTCTTTTCTCTAACTCACTTTAAGAATGCACTATATAATACATATAGCATACAAAATATGTGTTAATTGACTGATTATGTTATTGGTAAGGCATCTGGTCAACAGTGGGCTATTAGTTAGGGTTTTGGGGAGTCAAAAGTAATTTGTGAATTTTTGATTGCACAGGGGATCTGCACCCCTAACCTCCACTTTCAAGGGTCAAGTGTTTATAGTAAGATTAAAACTTCGTGAACAGTTTGCATTAAAATATAGACTGCAAGGAAATATATAAAAATATTGTTATATGTTTTGATTAATTTGGGTAATGGCATAGGTAGCTTTTTGAAAGCCCTGCTTGTTGATTTATTGATTTCTTATAATGAGTATGTATTCACTATAATAAGGGAAATATAACAAAGGTTTCAATCAGTGGAGGAAAAATACAAACAATACCATCATAGGTAAAATACAAAAACCTATGTTGTTTCTTATAATTATATACAGAAAGTTTCCAGGTCATGTGATAAATATTTCAGTACTAGATTAGATTAGAAATGTAAGACAGTAAAGATGACCTAAACTATAATTAGTTCTAGAAAAATTCTTAGTCAAATCAGTTAGTGCAAAGCAATGTGGCATAATTTGGGAAAGCACTTGTTTGTCACTCAAAAGATTTGGATTCTTTACTTTCTAGGCATGTAACTTCCTGGTTTAAGATACTATTTCTGAGCACCATGATTATCAGTAAGCGTTTCAAGCATGGTATAATTGACTTTGATTCACATGGAACCAATTACTTAAATAATAGCTCTTTTTTCCAATTAAATAATAGCTCCTTTTTCTAATTAAAAACTTTTTATTGTATCTATTATTTGAAAATATTTTTTAACAAATGAATGAAAATAATGTGTAATGTCAATGCTAATACTAATAACAATAATAATAGCAGCTTATTCTGAGTCAGTTATGCTGAGTTTACATATAACATCTCATCTAATTCTCAGACAAATATTAGGGGTAGGCACTGTTTTTAACTATGTATTGAAAGGTATAACTTGTCCAAGTTCACTTAGCTAGTAAAGGTAGAGCCAGGATAGAAACTGAGGTGGTCCTTCTGTGCATGTTGGTGCAACACATGGTCTTTACTTATTATTGCCTGACAGTTTATAGCTGTAAAATTGATAAGATTGGTGTTTATTACTACAAGTCCCACATTAAAAAAAAAAAATAAACATAAACACAAATATTCCTTATGTATGATTGTAAAGGAAATATGTATTGTAGTAAATTTGGAACATTCAGAAAGTCTAAAAAGGAATGTAAAAATTCCCTGAAACCAAACCACTCAGAGCTACTATTACTATGTATATTTCCATGCTTTTTATAAAGAACTTTTTTCAATTAATTTCCTTCATTTTATGAAATCTCTAGGATTGATGTGATAGAAATTGGCATAAAGATGTTCGTAGATTATCTTTTTTTTTTGACGAAGATTTACATACTAGTTCATAGTGCTTTTGATTTCTCTAACAAGTTTGTAGAACTAGGTTACCAGTAACATCAAAAAATCAATTGACTTTCACATACATGGATAACTTTTGATCTTGTAACTGTTCCATTTTCATCCTGTGTGGGCCATTATTAACTTTTAAAGTATTTCTTGTATTACTGGATCACGTTACTCAATAACCCTTGGAAATCTGAGCCAGTATTTTCCTCTTAGAGTATCTTTATTGATTTCTGTGTGATAATGGTTTTGCTCTTGCAAGGTGCTGTGTTCTTTTTGGAGAGCACTTACAGAGTTTGAGATTCTTAAAATATTGTGAGAAGAAAGTGATCTTTTCATATGCATTCTCCTTTAGTGTTTTAAGAAATTTCTTGACAATTTGAAGCCTTATCATATAGTATGTTAGATCTATAATTTTCTAATTTTTTTTTTTTTAAGATTTTATTTATTTATCTGAGAGAGACAGGGAGAGAGTGAAAGAGAGAGCACGAGCAGGGGGGAAAGGCAGAAGCAAGCTCCCTGCTGAGCAGGGAGCCGGACGTGGGGCTCAATCCTAGGACTCTGGGATCATGACCTGAGCCAAGGCAGATGTTTAACTGACTGATCCACCCAGGCACCCCTCTAATGGGTTTTGACGGATATGAATCTTTGAACCTCTGACCATGAATTTTAAAGATTTTTTTTTTTTTAATTTATTTGAGAGAGAGAGAATGAGAGACAGAGAGCATGAGAGAGAGGAGGGTCAGAGGGAGAAGCAGACTCCCTGCTGAGCAGGAAGCCCGATGTGGGACTCGATCCCGGGACTCCAGGATCATGACCTGAGCCGAAGGCAGTCGCTTAACCAACTGAGCCACCCAGGCGCCCTCTGGCCATGAATTTTAAACAACCAAAAAATATTAGTATTTAAAAAATACTTAATTTGTTTTATAAACATTACTTTTTAGGTATCTGTAATGCGTGATGAGGAGAAATTACTGAGGATTAAAATTAATGAACTGGAGAAAAAGAAAAACCAGTGTTCTCAGGAAATAGATATGAAACAGCGAACCATTCAACAACTCAAGGTAACAGTCTTCCTTTTAAAAATAGTTTAAGTAGATTCTGTTGGTATATTTTAGTGTCTAGTTAAACGTATCAGTTCTTTTTTTTCTTTTTGTAAATTTTTTTTTAGATTTTATTTATTTATTTGAGAGAGAGAGCGCACACAAGAAGGGAAAGTGGCAGGCAGAGGGAGAGGGAGAAGCAGGCTCCCTGTTGAGCAGGGAGCCCTATGTGAGGCTTGATCCCAGGATTCTGGGATCATGACCTGAGCCGAAGGCAGACGCTTAACCAACTGAGCCACCCAGGCGTCCCAGTTCTTTTTTTCTTTTTAAAGATTTTATTTATTAATTTGAGAGAGAGAGTGTGTGAGTGGGAGGAGGGTACAGAGGGACGGAGAGAGAGAGAATCTCAAGCAGACTCCCCACTGAGCACGGAGCCCGATGCTGGGCTTGATCTCATGATCCTGAGATCATGACCTGAGCCAAAATCGAGAGTCAGACACTTAACTGACTGAGCCACCCAGACACCTCAGTGTTATCAGTTCTTTATAACAAATTCTCTTTTGACTATTTCTGGAATCTAAAAATTAATTACTTAAAATTAAATAAGGCCATAGTGATTTGCTTCTAATGAATAGAGTATGGAAAGGAAAAATTAGTATCTTTACAGTAGAGAAACCTGGCAGAAACCACCTTAGCCAGGTGTTCAAGAATAGCATCACCAGTAGTAAGTCATATTGATACCATGTGCTTCCTGATTTGATGTGACCAGAAAGGCTCATCTCTTATGTGGTATTTCTCCCCCAAATCCATAACTTCAGTCTAATCATGAGACAACATCAGACAAATCCGAACTGAGGATGTTTGTACACAATACCTGACCAATAAAAATTGTCAAGGTCATTAAAGAAAGGGACTACCAAGGACTTCTCACAGATTGGAGGAGACTAAGGGGACAGGATTACTAAATGCAGTCTTGTATCCTGTATGGGATCCTAGAAGCAAAAAAGGATATCACTGGAAAAACTGGTGAAATCCAAATACAGTCTATAGTATTGTTAATATTATTATAGCAGTGCTAATTTCCTTTTTTTCATACAAAGATGATTATTTCCATATTTTAAATAATAGAGCATGGACACTCAACTGCTCATTTTTCGGTCCAGTGTTTCTCGATTTTTAAATCAATGTACTGTGGTAATATAAGAGTTAACATTAGGGGAAGCTATGTGGAGCTTATACAGGATATGTCTGCTATCTTTGCAACTCTTCTGTGAATCTAAAATAATTTCAAAATAAAAGTAAAAAGAAGGGGCACCTGGGTGTCTCAGTCATTAAGCATCTGCCTTCAGCTCAGGTCATGATCCCAGAATCCTGGGATCGAGCCCCACATTGGGCTCCCTGCTCGGCAGGAAGCCTGCTTTTCCCTCTCCCACTCCCCCTGCTTGTGTTCCCTCTCTAGTTGTCAAATAAATAAATAAAATCTTAAAAAAGAGAAAAAAGTAAAAAGAAAATGAAGCTCATGTCTTATAAAAAATTATTTTTCGAAAGGACACTTAAAAAGCAAAATCCCTTTATAAGTGGTTATATTTTGCTTGACATCAATTAAATGGATTTGGCAACAATTAAAAAATGAATTTGTTGTATTCTTTGCATGTTGGCTTTTGAATGAAGCAAACTAATGAATATTCAGGTGTAAACACATGATTTTAATTTTTAACTGAATCTAATAAAGCAGTCTATACTTTCATAATAGATTTCCGAGATTTCCAGGTTCTGTAATGATTTTCATTCTAAGACTTGAAAGTAAGGAGATAGTGTTGATGTTAAATGAGCTAGGGAGTGAAGGTTGGATTACCTGATAGGTTAAAACTAGAATTGGAAGATTTCCAGTACCCATAATTTACTCTTGCCTCTTGTGGCTCCTATTATTTTTTTTTGAACTCCCCAGCTACTTTCTACATAGAGGGGATGGGGGACCCTATTTTTTCTGCCCTCTAAGTGTATTGATACGGAACTTTTTTTATGGCTTTCCTTGTTCCTCCTATGTTAAATGCATAGTGAGCCTCCATTTCATCATTTCTGCTTTTTCTGGTGTGTAAGAGAACATGGTAGCTTAAAATATTGAGTAAATAACATGACTGGGCAGTAACTTTGAGGGAGATTAAAGGTATCAAGTTTTGTTTTTCACCTTGCCCTTTTCTCCAAGGCTAAAGAAACTTGGAAGCAGGAGACTAGTAGTCAACCTTGTAGGAGAGAGATTTCAGACCCAACATTGAACCCTGTTTTCAAGTCCCACTAGTAAATATTGCTGTGCATTTTAGTTAAATTTGCATTTAATTCATGTTCTTTCATCTTGCAGGAGCAGTTAAGTAATCAGAACGTGGAAGAAACTATACAACAGTATGAGAAAGTGTGCAAAGGTCAGGAACAAACCTCTACTTCCAGTACTAAAATAACTGCAGAATAATAGGTAGTTGAAATAACAATTGAGTTAGCATTTTCCTTTGAAAACTGTAAAGTAAGGTCAACATAAGATGTAACTATCAAAAGGGAAAAGCATTGATTCTAATGAGTGACTCGTCAACATAAAGTTTATTCTTTTTGGGGCGCCTGGGTGGCTCAGTTGGTTGGGCGACTGCCTTCGGCTCGGGTCATGATCCTGGAGTCGCAGGATCGGGTCCCATGTCGGGCTCCCTGCTCACCAGGGAGTCTGCCTCTCTCTCTGACCCTCCCCCCTCTCATGCTCTCTGTCTCATTCTCTCTCTCAAATGGATGGATAAAATCTTTAAAGAAAAAAAAAAAAGAAAGAAGGAAAAAAGTTTATTCTTTTTTTTTTTTTTAAGATTTTATTTATTTGAGAGAGAGAGTGAGAGAGAGCATGAGACAGGGGGAGGGTCAGCGGGACAAGTGGACTCCTCGCTGAGTAGGAAGTTCCATGAGGGGCTCTTCCAGGACCCTGGGGTCATGACCTGAGCTGAAGGCAGATGCTTAACCAACTGAGCCACCCAGGTGCCCCAACATAAAGTTTATTCTTAGAAAAATAAAACATTAAGAAATACTCAAGTTAAAGAAATATTGATTTCTAAGTAATGGCCAAGATTTTGTGAAAAATAGTCAGTTACATTGGCCACAATGAATGGAATAGATTTCTAGACAAAATCATGTAAGAATATATGTCAAGTAAAACATATTTGAAGTTTTTAAAAACCATTAAATACTTTAACTTCAGATCTTATGTGCTGAATTATGCTTTTTTTACTCATTTTATTGATTTTTAAATTTGAAATATAAAATTACCTTTGTAAATGATACATATATCTTTCTGTTCATAATATGCACATTCCTCTCCTCCCCCTCACTCACCCCTTAATATCTTGGTTGTGTGAGTAGTAGAGCTGGGATTTGAATCTAGGTCTGTTTTACTCTTAAGTTTCAGATTCTCTTCACTAATTTTTGCTATTTGTACTTGGCCAACTAAAAAGAAAGGGGTAGGACAACCAGATTATTACTTGTTTAGATGACTTGGACATTTGTGGGATTTACTTGGATCAATAACTTGACTGTGTGTGTGTGTGTATCTCTGCACACTGTCCTATTTTCTCTTGCCTTTCTTTTGGCTTTTGTCCCTTAACATTTCCTATTTCCATAATCTTTTTAGGGGTTTTCTTTTCTTTGGCTCCTTTGTCATTGTTGGCAAATGTGAACAGATCCTAGCTATTTTGAAAAAGCATGCCCTTGGACCAGGATATAGTTTCTATCATATTTTAATTTTTCCTCTCTTTGCCAAATACCAAGAACTGTGGCATAGGTCCATTTTGACCACTTTAATCTGACTTCCCTCTTCTCCATGCTCTTGAAACTTCCTCCCAAGTCACTTAACTTACATATTTTCAAATCTATTAGCTTTTTGCAATCCCTCCTTTCCTTTACTTTTTACATTATTTTGACATAATTGTTCACCCTCTTCCTTTTCCTCATTTTCATTTTTTATGTAGTATTTACTGTGTGTGAGTATATTTTTTCTAAATAAAATGGTAATGTGTAGCTTCCCCTCCTTTGAAACTTTTCTCAGCTGTTGTGATCTCTTCTGCACCAGTTACTGCCTCTCTCTCAGAATGAACCTCAGCTACTTTGGCAACTTTCCTGATTAAGGCGTCATCTTCTTTTTTCTCTTTGTTTTCTCACTGGAGAGTCCATTTGTTCCTATGATTTCAGCTGTGCATGAGGCATTCCCCAACAAACAAAAAAGTGCATTTTTAGTTCGGCTTCTATATTTCTATTTAAACACTGAATGTCTTTTACTTAGATATCTTAGTATAAATTTTTTAAAAAATTGAGATACAGTACATAATTATTACTTTTAGAAGTGTAGAATTTGGTGCGTCTTAGTGTATTCACAAGGTTGTACAATCACTACCACTATCTAATTCCGGAACATTTTCATCACCCCAGAAAGAAATCTTGTACCCATTAGCTGTCACTCCTCAGTCCCTATCAGCCACTAATCTGCTTCTGTCTCTGGATTTGCCTGTTGCAGACATTTCATCTAAGTGGGTGCATACAATATATGGCCTTTTGTGTCTGACTTCTTTCACTTAGCATTATGTTTTCAAGTTTCATCCGTACTGTAGCATGTATCAGTACTTTTTATGGCTGAATAATATTCCATTGTAATGACTATACCACATTTTATTTTGTATCAGTCTATAGACATTTGGATTGTTTCTACTTTTTGGCTTTTATGACTATTTGTGTACAAATTTTTGGGTGAACATATGTTTTCAGTTCTCTTGAGGATCCAGGAGTGGAACTATTGGGTCCTATGATAGTTCTGTGTTGAACTTTTCCCACAGTGGCTATACCATTTTCCATTCTTACCAGTAGTAGATGAAGGCTCTAGTGTTTCCACATGTTGCCAACACTTGTTTAACACGTGTTAAAAAGTCATAGTATCTATATTAGTTTCCTAGGGCTGCTGTAACAAAGTACCACAAACTTGGTGCTTAAGACAAGGGAAGTTTATTTCTCATACAGACCTGAAAGCTAGAAATCAGAAATAAAGGTATTGATAGGGCAGGCTGTGCTTGTTTTGAAGGTTCTGGGGAAGAATCTTCCTTGTCTCTTCTAATTTTTAGTGGTTGATGGCAATCCTTTGTATTCCTTGGCTTATGGCAGCATAACTCCAGTTTGTCTCTGTTTTAACATGGCCATTTTTCTTTTAGGTGTGTGTGTATTGGTGTCTTCTCCCTATGGGTCTCTGTCCAGATTTCCCTCTTCTTATAAGGAGACCAGTCATATTGGATTTAGGGCCCACTCTAATCTAGGTGACCTTATTCTTAACTTGATTATATCTGCAAGTATCCTATTTCTAAATAAGGTCATATTCATAGTGGATGGACATGTATTTTGGGAGACACTGTTTAACCTAACATACTGGTGGGCATAAACTGGTGTGTTGTTGTGGTTTTGATTTGCATTTCCCTAATGACTAATGATATTGAGCATCTTGTCTTGTGCTATAGGCCATTTATATATCTTTGGAGATATTGAAGTCCTTTGCCCATGTTTCAGTTGGGTTATTTCTCTTTTTATTATGGAGTTGTAAGAGTTCTTTATGTATTCTGGATACACGGCTTATCAGATAGATTTGCCAAAGCTTTCTCCTATTCTGAGGGTTGTTTTCCACTTCCTTGATTGTGTCCTTTGGTGCATAAAAGTTTTTAATTTTGACGAAGTCCAATTTATCTGTTTTGATCGATTGTATTTTAGGTATCATGCCTAAAAAACTATGGCTTAATCCAAAGTCATCTAGGTTTTTTTCTAAGAGTTTTATAATTTTAGCTCTTATATTTAGATCTTTGATTCATTTGGAGTTAATCCACTTGAGTATAATTTTGTATATTGTGTGAGGTAGGTGTCTAACTTAATTTTTTATATATGGAGAATCAGTTGTCACAGTACCATTTTTTGAAGAGACTGTACTTTCTCTTACTGCATTCATTGTCTTTGCACCTTTGTTGAAAATCAGTTAACCATTAACTATATTCACTATATATTGTTACTATAGCTTTATAGTAAGTTCTGAAATTGGGAAGTGTGGATTTTCCCACTTTTGCTCTTCTTTGGCAACATTATTTTGGCTATTTTAGGTTCATTGCATTTCCACATGAATTTTAGGACCAGCTCGTCATTTTCTGGGAAAAAGCCAGTTGGAATTTTAATGGAGATTGTGTTAAATCTGAGGATATGTTTGGGGAAATTGCCGACAAACAATATTAACCATGGAATAACTTTACATTTAGCTAAGCCTTTTATTCCTTTCAGTGTTTTTCTTTTTACTTTTTAGTGTATAAATTTTGCACATCTTTTGTTAATTTATTTCTAAATATTTAATTCTTTGTAATGCTGTTAAAAATGGAATTGTTTACTTAATACCATTTTTTGAATTGTTAATTGCTAGTATATAGAAATACAATAGATTTAATTATATTTATCTTGTATCTTTGTAAACTTAGCTGAACTAGTTTATGAACTCTAATAAGGTTTTCTTTCTTTTTCCTTACATAAAGTATCAAGTCATCTACAAATATAGTTTTACTTTTCTGTTTTATTCGTTGCATATTTCTGATTATTTTCTGAAATGAAATGTAAATTATTGGAGGCAGTAAGTGATAAATAATTTTCTCTTTCTCTCTCTTTTTTTTTTAACTACACCTACCTTTCAGATAGTAGGTGGATAGTCATTAGTGAAATTATCATTGGTGTCGTGGAACTTTCCTAATTTTTTTTTTTTTTGAACTTTCCTAATTGACAACTAGATACTTAAACCCTTTTCTAGCCTTCTAGTTTAGAGCAAAATATAGGGTGGAAAAGGGAAGGGATTTTCTTTGAATAAACTTTTATTAATTGTATAATCTGAATATATTTGTAATCATGCTTTTTGAAAGAAAGAGTTTAGATAATAATGACTCCTTTAATCCTAGGAGGAATTCTCTTTTATTAGCATTCCTGGCAGCTTATATAAAAAGAAATACTGAAAATTACTCATATAATTTTTTCTTATTGTTTTAATGAATTTGTCTTTGTTGTTTTTTTAAGTTTGCTATTTATGTGCACCTTGAGGGAGCCATTTTTTGGGATTTTTGTTATTTTTAATGTTTAGTGACCTGAGGTTGAACTACATTTATAGGGTTATTACCTCTGACATCAGTAATAGTTTTGGTGAAGTGTCTAAAATGTGCCCTGCTACAAACATGGCCATCACCAGAGGCAACAAAGTAATCTTTCCTTTTTACCTCTTTCTAGCAGACAGCATTAAAATGGAACTGTTTATGTCATTATTATCAGTTTTTAAGGGCCAGAGACAATTTTGGTAAGGCTAGTAGCACAGTCATTCCTGAAGAGCTGGTTTTAAAAATAATAGAAGTAGATTTTTGGCTTTGGAAATTTTTGTAGAAAACATAATTACTTGAGATTTAAAAAAAAAAAAGTCAAATTGGGATTGAGCCCTTTTTGCATTTAGGAGGTAAATGTTTTACTTTTGGTTTGAGAATATTAACACTGAAAATAAATGTTTTGCCAAGTAACGTTTTTTCTAAATCCCAAGATTTGCATTTATTAGTATTAATAGTTTAATATTATAAAAAATCGTTAATTTTATCCGAAGAGATTGGTTTTTTCCATCCATCCATCCATTCTTGCAATCATTCAGGTATCTATCTGTACGTCAGATACGTACTTGGTGCTTCATATCTGCCAGTGCTGTTCTAGGCATCGACGTGCTGCAGTGAACAAGACAAAGCTGCTGTCTGCATAGGACTCAGATTCTATTCTGGTCAATAAAAGTGTATTTTAATTTTAGAAGAACTCAGAAAAATTGGGCATCTAGATGTAGATGTTAGTAGTTTCTCAAATGTTCTCCCCAAATTTTTAGATCTAAATGTTAAAGAGAAAATAATTGAAGACATGCGAATGACCCTGGAAGAACAGGAACAAACTCAGGTGGAACAGGATCGAGTGCTTGAGGCTAAGTTAGAGGAAGCTGAAAGACTGGCCACAGGTAAAACATGACTGCTTAAATATCTCCAGACCTACTTGCCATTTTCTGTATTTCCCTAGATTTCTTTCCTTTTTAAAAGTTGTTTAGTATTTATAATAATTCATAGTGAAAAAGTATTGGTGTGTTTTTGGAATGTCCTATTAACTTGACATTTTCCAATGTGATGAAAATTGTTTTATCTAAGTAAAATTGTATGTAGTAAAGAAGGAATAAGAATACTTTCATAATAACTGGATGATAACTTGCAATGTTTCCCAGACGTTAAAAATAAATTTTCAGCTGAGTTACAGCTCTGTCCAGCTTCTTAGTATCATCTTGTATGTTTATCTTGGTAAATACTCTGATTCCATCCTTCAGAATACCATCACAGTTTTTTTTATTTTTGAGAACCATGTGAGGTTTCCTATATAATTAAGATTGAGATGTTTATACTGTATACTCTGAACACTATTCAGTGGGTTCCTGAGAGGTCCTTGTACTTACTGTTCTCTAAGAATTTCATAAGAACTCTTAAAAGTGCAGCCCTTGGAATTATCTCAATTCTATCTGTGTTTATGTTTTTCTTCTGGGCTCTACTGATTCTTGTCTGTATCTCATGCCGTATGTATCTCTATATGGTATAACTTTTGCATGTGCTTTAAAAAATAATTTTATGTTTTCAAATTAGAATTGGAAAAATGGAAGGAAAAATGCAATGATCTGGAAGCCAAAAGTAATCAAAGGTCAAATAAAGAACTTGAGGATAACACCGATGTACTTAGGGAAAAGCTCAGTAAGCTTCAGGATGAGTTACAGGTACGATTTGATGTATATATGTATCTAGCCATGGTATTTCTCATGAGAGGAGAATTCAGCAAATATTTTATAATTAATTTAGATATGGGTGAAATACTACTTGGGAAATGCTAACATATAGGTATAATTTTTCAGTATACATTGAAATGACATGGGGCGGAAATTCCCAACATACAAACCACCACTAGTGCCAATGAAAATACAGTGGTTGGGTCTTCTTTTTTATATTCTATATATTTAATTCTTAAATCACTACTTCTTAAGTGTTTCTACCTATTTTTCTACTCCTTAAACTTCTTAGTCCTCAATTACTGCTGTGAAAAAGAAGACTTAGGGAGATTATTTTGTATATAATCATTTTAATTTTAAGTTATGAAGTTGGAAAAGAATACAGTTGTCTATCTGGACACTGGAATATATTTGAAACTGTATTATATAAAGAATATTCTGTTTTGCATTTATATTTTTTCCATGTTCAATTCTAAATACTACATAGAATACAGTGTATGGATGAACTTTTTTTTAATGGGGTTTACCAAATACCACTTAAAATTTTATACATTTTATTAGAAGGAACTAGTTTTGAGATTGAAGAAAGCATAATAGTGATTTTAAAAAGTTGGCTGCATCTAAATTATTTTCTTAAATTCATGCTATATGTAATCAGATACTGAACAAATAAAAAGTACTTTCTTTTGTTAACTATTAATTATATATTCTAGAATTTACCCTTTCTATTGGGAAAATCCCAAAGCAGCTAGAACAAAGGAAATACTCCATTATTTATGAAAAAGTATTAACTATATTGGGAATGTTCATATTAAGGAGTACTGGTTTATTTTATGTTCTGCTCAAACGATGTAATCACATAGATTATAAACTTTGTAATTCTGGAATGGAAATTACCGATCAGCTATATTCTCAGTCTAGCCATTCCCAGTGTTCCTCAGATTCATGAATGTCCTGTTGCACAAGTTATTTTTTACTTGGCATCCCATATACCCAGGAATATTTTATTTTTGAAACCATACAGTTAGAAATGACCATCACAAACCAAGGCTTTTTCTTTTCTGGCATTTAGAAAGACTTGGGTCTTTGTAACTCTTTCAGAAATAGAAGTTGTTTATTTGTTCTTAAGGTCACTGATGAAGGAGAGTCCTTAAATGGACTTCATAGCGAAATAAGGTTTATAAAAGAAAGTCCATTTAGAAAAGGAAACCAGCAGTGTTCATTTTATAATCTGAAATAAACTTTGATCTTATCATTGTTTAAGGAAAAACACTTATTTTTAATTTTCAAAAAGGTGAAAAAGTGATGGGTTATATGAATATGTTCTAAAAATAAATTTGTCGACTATTAAGTATTATTTAAGCATGTGATAGTTACTTGTATTATTTTTATATACATAGGAATCTGAACATAAATATAAAGCTGATAGAAAGAAATGGCTAGAAGAAAAAATGATGCTTATCACTCAGGCAAAAGAAGCTGAGAATCTCCGAAACAAAGAGATGAAAAAATATGCTGAAGACAGAGAGCGTTGTTTAAAACAACAAAATGAAGTGGTTGGTAACAATTATACTTTATCTTTGATGTATTTCACCAGCTTTCATTTGTTAAGTTTATCCCTGGGATTCTTACCAGCCTTTACATGGTTACCTGATTTTCTTGCTCTTTTAAAAGGCAGCCTATTTGTCTATTTATAAGATGACTTTTCTTTCCCAATTTTGAAGTTCACTTATCTTACTTTAACTTTTTTCAATCCATTTAGCAAGTTGGGAAAATGCCTAATTACATCTCAGTTTCTAGATACAGAACTTAAACATCTCTTCCTTTTGATTGCTACGGGGTGATCTCTACCATATTATAAAATTTTGCATTGTGAATTATAGATTCTATTAACATGCTGTGTATATGTTATCTCATAAGCTGATTTTATCAGGACTTTTAAAAAGTCAATTATGGGTGCCTGGGTGGCTCGGTTGAGCGTCTGACTCTTGGTTTTGGCTCACGTCATGATCTTGGGGTCGTGAGATCAAGCCCTGCTTTTGGGCTCTGCACTCAGCATGGAGTCTGCTTGAGATTCTCTCTCCCTTTCCCTCTGCCCCTCCCCCTGCTTGTGCTCCCTCTCTAAAATAAATAAATAAAATCTAAAAAAAAAAAAGTCAACTAAATAGTTTCTTGAAGATGGTAGGTAGGAATAACCTTCAGTTTTATCTTGACTAGCTGTAGCTCTTTTTTTTTTTTTTTAACATTTTATTTATTTATTTGACAGAGACAGAGAGAGAGATCACAAGTAGGCAGGCAGGCAGAGGCAGAGGGAGAAAGCAGGCTCCCTGCTGAGCAGGGAGCCAGATGCGGGGCTTGATTCCAGGACCCTGGGATCATGACCTGTGCCAAAGGCAGATGCTTAACCGACTGAGCCACCCAGGTGCCCCTGACTAGCTGTAGCTCTTACAGCAGTTCTATCTTAGCTTGTTTTTCCCCTCCTGTTTTAATTGACTGCTTAGTCTGACACCTCATGTTGCCAACAGAAAAAAAAGTTAAAAGGTATTGTTGGTTTTAGGAAACTTGCAAAACACATTGATACTATCTTTAAATGAAAAACTGATTTTCTCCTTAAAATAGTAGTAACTTGGCAATATCACATGGTCATTGCTGGTATTTTTGTTTGTTGTTTGTTTATGACAGAATTTTACAGATAATAGCTAAGCTTCCTTGTAAAACCAGGATGTTAATTTTCAGTAAGTTAAGGGTGATTTTCCCACTGATTTTTAAAAACAATTTTACCTTCTTATTTTGAAATCATTTTATTTACAGAAAAGTTGCAAAACTAATTCAGAGTTCCTGTATACTTACCATTAACTTCTCCTGATGTTAGCATCTTACGTAACAATAGTACAATGATTGGAAGCTTAACTGACTGAGGCACCCAGGTGCCCCAAAACCTACTTTAAGTTTTTAATCCTAAAGAGAGCTAGCTTCCTTCTTTCTCCCATCTATTTCTTTGCAGTCATACCTAGGATGTATATGTCTGCCATATTAAGGTATAAATTGTTAATTTGTAAAATTGTCACATTTAACACAGTAAATCACAGTAAATAAAAAACAAACAATAGTTCAGTGAACTGTTGTAAAGTCAATATCCACTTAAGTACCACCCAGTTCAAGAAATACAACATTACCAGCCCCCCCGGGGGGCTCCTCTTCTATTTCTTTCCCAGTGGTAATAACTATTCTGTCTTTTAATGTTGTACTTTAGTTTTGGGCAGCTTTGAATTTTATGTAAGTGGAATTATGTGGGATGCATTTGTTTTACCTGGTTTCTTTCAGCATTATGTTTGTGAGAATTATTCATGTCACATGTAGCTGGAATTAGCCCATTTTCATTGCTGAGTATTGCAGTGTATGAATATACCACGGCCTATTCATTTTAATGTTGAAGATATGTGAACTATCTTCTGCTTTGAGCTATTATGTGTAACTCTCCTATAAACATTTTTATACATTTCTCTCAGTCACATGTGCATGCATTTTTCTTGCATTGTTAGCCAAGAATAGAAATGTTGGATGATAGGGTATGCATGTGTGGAACTCTGATAGAATGTCAGATTGGTTTTCAGAGTAGTTGTACCCATTTATACTCTACTTAGTACTGGAGTTGCTGTATATTCCCAAATACATGGTGTTGTTGGTCATTTTTTATGGTTTTTATGTGCTTTTCCCTGAGTACTAATGAGGTTGAAGATTATAGGGCCCCTTACCTTTTTCCTATTGGATTGTCTGGCTTTTTCTAGTTGATATGTAGGAGCTTCTTACACTTTCTGGATAGGAGCCCTCTGTCATGTGTTGCAAGTACCTTTTTTCAATCTCTAGTTTACTTTTTATTCTCTTAATGCCTTTTTATGAATATGAGTTCTTAAATTTACTTTAGTTCATTTTCCCAATCATCTCTCCTTTATTAACCCCAAATACATGAAGATGTTTTCTTATACTATTTCCTGTTTGGGTTTTACCTTTCATATTTTGATTCTAGTATTGAGTTTTGTGTTGGAGTGAGTTAGGCATCAAGACTAATTTTTTTTTAATGTGGATTACTGATTCTCCTGGTAGTATTTATTGAAAAAAAAACTTTCCCACTGCTGTGCCACTTTTGTCCAAGGATTAATTTTCATATGTGGTATGAGATTAGGATTGGGGTTCATTTTTTTTTTTCCCCATTTGGCTGTTGTTCCAACATTCTTTTTTTTTTTTTAAATTTTTTAATTGTTATTTTAATCACCATACATTACATCATTAGTTTTTGATGTGGTGTTCCAAGATTCATTGTTTTTGCATAACACCCAGTGCTCCATGCAGAACATGCCCTCTTTAATACCCATCACCAGGCTAACCCATCCTCCCACACCCCTCCCCTCTAGAACCCTCAGTTTGTTTTTCAGAGTC